TCCGACGGCGAGCTCGCGGACGGCGCCGATGACCCATGACTCTGCGATGCCCGCCAGGCCGCAGCTACCGACGAGTGCGGGCCCGCGGAGGCCGATCCCGCTGGGGTGGTCCAAATTACAACCTCCTCGAAACCCATGGTTTCGTAGTAGGACCACAGGACGACTTCCCGGGCGCACCCGCCCGCGAGCTTCGGTGTCCTCCCAGATGCGAGGGGTCCCTCGGGGATGGTGGCTCGGCGGCTCCTGTGGTTTTGTTCTTCAGCTCCGCTATGTTGATCCTAAAGTTGATGTTTTCTTGGTCCAAATTGCACGAAGCGCGGATACGATTTCTGGCACGATGTTCCACTTATAAAATGACGATGCTCTCGACGACCGGCGAGCATGTCGTCTACGTCATCATGTTCTGGCTCGTCCAGCTCGAGGTGTCGCTCTGCGAGGACATGTTCGGCTCCCTCGACGGCAAGACGTCCCTGGCCTACCCCGCGATCTGGCCGCGGCCGCCGACGGAGGCGCTCCGGAGGCTGCTGCCCAACGTCGCCCACGAGTGGTGCCGGAAGACGGGCGTGCGCTGGCTCGTCGCCCGCGCGGGCCTCGCCGCGGGCGTCGTCGCGGCGGCCGCGCCGCCGCTCCGGCCCGCGGCGACGCCCGCGTTCCTGGTAATATACGCCGTCGAGTGCTACTGCTTCTTCGTCAAGTTCGGCGCCCACATGCACTTCGCGCCCCTGCTCCTCGCCTGGGGCACGCACGTCGTCGACCGGCGCGCGAGGTACCGGGGTTTGTTTTTGTTGTGCGTCGCGGCGCAGACCTACGCGTCGTCCGGGTTCTGGCGCGGCCTCCAGTTCTACCGCACGGGCGTCCCCGGCGACGTCGTCGAGGGCACCTACGGCGTGTCCCTGAAGCACTTCACGACGAACCTCTTCGGCATGGCGCCGCGGCTGCGGGCCCGGGTCCTCGCGTGCTCGGAGCGATTCCTCGGCGCTTCGTTCCTCGCCGTGACCCTGGCCTTCGAGGGCCTCGTCTGGGTGCTCGTCGTCGGCCTCGAGGTCGCCCTGGTCGCCCTGCCGCCGGGCGGACGCCGCGACGCCGCGGCGGCGTGCCAGGCCTGGGTG